GATCAGCTCTGTTCTTAACCGCAGTTGCGACTATTTTCATTCTCCCAGTTCATCCTAACAACAACCAAAATCCTCACAGTGCAGGAGGTGAGATTCTAAAAATTTTTAGTAACAATAAGAATCCTTATATCAATTATTTTATTCGAAAAATTGTAAAGAGGTACTTAATATTGGTATTAGATAGATTGGTATACGTCGTTTATTTTGAAAAAACATAACTCCAATGAAATTAAACATTTTTATTTAAAATACTTTCCATGATGTCCGATACACTTTTGCCTAAGTATTACAAGAGCATTAATTCCGCGTATATAAAAATCCGAATTTCCATGAGAAATAAATTGCTGAAAGGCGTTTTCAGTATCCTCCTGTTTCCTAAATCGTTTTTGCGTTTGGAAACTGTCAAGTGAGCGGAAAAGGTGAAAATCGATTGAAGATGAATCGAGGGAATATGGAGGATGAGATAGAATTTCAATACTCAGTTGATACAACTTTTCTACAATTGTGCTTGCTACTTGTGGTCTGTCGTTGTGAAAAAGTTTAGGGCCGTTTCTGTTGTCCAGGACTGGTTGCTGTGCCTTCAGTTTTTGGTGGACGTTCTCCAATTTGCCCGGCCTTAGAAAAATGTAGCGAATTAATTCGTGAATAATTTGTGAGTATAATATTTGTCGGGTGCAAACTAGGTTTAGATCGAGGGTGTGCTAGGACGAGTGAATGACCTTTGGTGGTTTAATGCATGCGGGGAATTCAAGGAAAGGGATTCAATAGAGCGAATGAGTTTGTATATATACCAACGGAAGGGTATAATAAGATAGGGTAGTTCTAGGTAGTGCTAAAGGACAGGGACGAATAAGCACGCGGGGACATTTCGCGAATGTGTATATATTATATCTAGCGTTATGTAACTGCGCCTGACCCCCCCTGGAAGGCGGCCTCCCAGAGTCCCACTAGGAAGGGCGTACCGACTTGGGGGTGACTGCCATAGCTGGTCCCAAGCCCAGTTGAGAGAAGTAGAGGGGCCTAAGCTAACTTAATCTTATTGCCACCGGCCACCCAACGCCGGGTGCGGGACTCCAATGTCGCAAGACGGATTCCCTAAAAAAGAAAAAGGTTTAGATCGAGGAGATTTATTTGCGTTTTTCTTTCTCTTAGAAATTCGGATTTGTATGTACACGGAATTAATGCTCTTGTAATACATTGGCAAAAGTGTATCGAACATCATGGAAATTATTTTCAATAAAAATGTTTTATTTCAGTGGAGTTACGTTTTTTTCTAATATTTTAAAATATTCTTTCAGGAGTGACGAGAGCTTTGAAAATTCCAGGCGTGCTGGTCGCCATGGCGTCGATAATCGCGACTAGTATGAGCATTGGATTTTTACAAGCAACATTGGAACCACATTTAAGGTCGTTCAACTTGAGCCCCGTCGTTTTGGGTCTAATGTTCGTTATTAACGGTGGCACTTACGCCATTACCGCCCCTGCGTGGGGCTGGCTCTGCGATAAGCACTCCCATCCAAAAGTAATTGTCGAAATATTGCTCTAATTGCTCGTTAACTGTCCTTCTAATAGGAACTTGAGTTCTTTAACGAAGTATCCTTGCAACCGAGAGGGGGAAATTTGCGATGCGTTGAATATGGAATTTTTAAGAAGTTGAATTTTGAACTTAAATTCGAAAATGTGAATATTACAAATTCTCAGGTTTCCAAGTACGCAACTTTCCAAATTTCCAAGCTTCTAAATTCCAAAACATCTAAATGTGAAAATTTGAAATATTCAGAACATTTTAAATGTCCCAAGTTTTCAAGTTCCTAATTTGAAAACTTCTAACTTTCAAAATATTAAAATCACATAACTCGCAAATTCCAAATGTTCGACAATTGAAAATTTAAGAATCTCAATATTTAGAGATTTTCACATTTCCAAGTTCCCAAATTTCCAAGCTTCTAAATTCCAAAAAACAAAATCAGAAAACTCAAAAATTCTAAATTTCCAACATCTGACAATTCCAACATTTTTAATTCTAAAAATTCAAGCATTTAAAAAATTCACGATCCTCGATATTTTTAGGTGGCAACTGTAGCCGGGTGCATTCTCGTGGTGGTGGGATTTTGTTTAGTTGGTCCGGCACCATTTATACCATGCCCAACCATACTTTGGGTGTCCATATGTGGTCTGGTAGTTCACGGCTTGGGTATGGCTGCTCAGCTGGTTGCCAGTTTCACGGATGCCTTGAGAACATCAATGTAGGTCCATATGGTATACTATTAACCTTTAACCTAGCCTACCTGTTTCTACATATTCATGGTTCTTTGAATATATACTATTACATTCGAAATTGCTTAGTAATTTATTACTAAGTGTTAAAAGGGAATAATTCAGAACAATTTTTGTAATCTTCAGACAATATGGATTTCCAAATAATCTGGAGACTTACGGTCTAATTAGTGGACTGTGGACAAGTACGTTTGCTCTTGGAGCTTTTATTGGACCAAGTGTGGCAGGAATTCTCTTAGATAATATCGGATTTAGAAACTCTACTATGTTCATCGTATTCCTTCACCTGCTAGTGGTAAGATATTACTCTAACATTGATAATAAAAATAAAATTAAAGCCACATTCTCTCTGAAGAATCAACCACACTGAACTTTTCAAGAATTAACAGGCAAAGCTAAAGGTTCAACCCAAAAACAATTCCAAATTTCTAAAATAGACAAACATTCCCAATTTACAAGCAATTTCAAATTTCTCAAAATAAAGTTATCAAACTCAAAATATTCAACTCTTCACGATGCATCCGAAACCACAAGCATTTCTAAAATTCTTCAAAGAAGCACACCAAACTCTTCAAAAACATTATTCTTCGCAATACACGAAAATTTCAAGCACCTTCAACTCGAAGGCAATTCAAAATCAAATAATTCCAAATTTCTCAATATAAACACGTGGAATTTTCAAAGAAACTGCTTTCTTCACCGCACCCTATCACGCTCAAGCTCTACCAACACCGAACACCAAATCACTTAAAAAACACGAACATAAATCTCTTTTCCTTCGAAAACCACGTTCATAAATCGACCACCACCGGGATCATTTTTCAGGGCGTGGTGGCAGCGGTGTTCCTGAGTAGTTGCACGCGAGGAAGCAAACCGTATACAGAGATCGGCACAGCGGAGGACCTTAGGGTACCGCTGACAGACAGTGGGCATTCGCGGAGCGGCAGCCTACGTCATAGCCGTGGCCAGAGCGTACCGATCGACAGGCCCAGCGGCATGAATTCCCTGATCGCGTGCAACAGTTACTCGAACAGAGCTGGCGCGTGGTCCCGGGCGTCGTACAGCGGCAGATATTCCCACAGTTACGGCTCCATCGAAGCAAAAGGCTACCTGGAGCTGACCACGTGATGCCCTGCAGGGCCAGACGCTCGCCGACACATCTCGAACAGGGTCGTGCCAGCAGTATTGCTTCGTGAACCTAATCTGACGTTTGGGAACTGTCTCTTTGTAGTCACTCCACCAACAGGGATTTTGAGGATACTGCGTGGAAAAGCGTTTTCACTCTTTCGTTGTAGGGGTGGGAAGGGTTGAAATAGCAAATGAAATGACGAAGACACGTTGAGGAAAATTTTGCTTTGACCCTCTGACTGCTGACTATTTAGAACGGTAGACATGCAGTACTAGCTGTTAAGGATTATTGATATCGACACGTTCCACGTGATGATTATTGCAACGAAGTTGAAAAGTCGAATAGAAATATTGGGTGAACGCGAAATTCTGTCGGTTTTAAGTCGAAATGTGTTAGTCTTACGAAGAACAGCAGTGTCACGTAAAGAAGCACATGTTTGGTATTCCGCCGTGAAAACTAATACATTATACTGTTTCCCCACGAAGAACAGCACATTTTGGATTTTGCGGCGTGTGGTCAGTTTAAATCGTCGAAATGCATTTTGCATCGAAAAATTCAACCTTTGAAAATATTATTTAGTAAATAATAACTCCATCTAATTTCTGAAACGAAAAGAATGTGAAAATGTTTCTCACTCTCATCTCCGATGCACTCAAGAAGAGAACAAACTGAAGAGAGATAACAGTGGGTAATTCCCAAAACACCTATCTCCCTCGATAACAGTCGCGACGTGGACCCGAGCTTGCGTCAATTAAGCGGGGAATACTGCGTATTACGATCAGGTCAGGATAAAATTCTGATTAGATCAGATTCGATTACACTTAACTTGCATGGTAAAAAGAATGAAATCTTGTCGTTTGGTGCGGTATAAAGCTAAACACGCTTTTTTCGTAGCCAGACATTCAAATGTGCTTCTTCTCGTCGCTACAACCGGTACACGCTTCTTTCCGTGGCAAATCACTCGAACGTGTTAGTTTTCACAGCGAATGGCGAAACATGTTATTTTTCATAGCCAACCATTCAAATGTGCTACTTTTCGCAACGAAAAACGAAACGTGGGTATTTTTCGTGGCGATGAAGACAAATGAAACGTGTTACTTTTCATAACGCACCTCGAAGTAATAAAAACATTGTTTGACAAGTCGTGAGCAATTCACGCGTTGAGTTTGAAATTTAAACCTTAATTAAATCCTATTAAAATTTAGTCTAACAGGAAACCCCTATTTTCTTTACTTATTATTAAAGTAGGATTTCTGAAATTATTATTGCAACATTTTGTCCATAGCAATTAATTTACGAAAAGACAGAACTTTTGCACTCACCTAATACTTAAATGTAGAAAAATATCCGAATATTCCGAAAACGGAACGCGTTAAACAAATCACTTTCTTTTTCAATATTTTGTTTTATATTCATGAAAGAAATAGGGAAGGAAAATAAAGCAAGGGTTTTTACCGAGTTCTTGTATTGTAAGGGATTTTACTGAATTTAACTTGTAAATGATATAAAGGATAGTAGTTTAGAGGACAATGAGAACACGTTCAGTGCTCTATAATTTAATTCAATTTTTTATGATGGTTAAATGGTGTCATATAATTTGCTAGCACTTCGTCCATTTGGGAAGTTAATTCGATGATTTAATGAAACAGTGTAACACGATATAAACTTATTCTCAAGGATTCGCAAATTCGACATTCCCATGTTACGAAAGTGGCAAGATATTCAATTGTACAGAACTTTGCTCTCCATTTCGACGTTAGAAGCCGAATCGACTTTACCTATTATATGTATAAATCACGAATTAAATCGAAAATTTACGAATCGACAGCCACAACGAAAGGGTAGAAAAACATTCCCCGTGTTTCTCGTTTCCTTGTGAATAGTAAAAGAAAAACGTTTTTCTGCCTCCTGTGAAAAAATAGAGTTCCAATGTAAGAAATGACGGGGATCTGAAAGTGTTTAAAGATTGATGGTTCAGACGTATCAAACAGTATTTTCAGGATGCAGATGTACGCATTTCTACACTTCGATCGATTAAAAATCGTTATTTTTAACGAAAGAAGGATTATTCTTGCAGGATACGAACCTTTTCTTTCTTACTAACGAGTGAAGCAAAAAGATTAAGAATCGCATTTTCACAAGGAAAGATTGATTTTCATTACCGTTAACGGGCTTTCACTTACTGTTAATGAGAGGCACGACCCTAAATCGACGAGACCTCCTCACTATCGAATTTTCGTCGCATTCAAGCCACCAAAGAACAGTCATGAATGGATTGTATATACACTCGCGCATGCCTCTAAGTAGCTGTTATCGCCATTCACGTATTCTGTCTATGACGTCCTTGCGGTTGTTAGATATCATAGAATAATTGTATTTCAACGTGTCTTTAATAAATGGAAAATTTTTATTTAATCTCCTTTAGTTACTTCCTTAAGCGGACACTTTCAGTGTTTGTCTTAAATTGCGATAATAATATTCTACAATATTTAAATATAAAGTTAAGTATAAAATTCTATTTTAACCCTTTAACTGGGTGCAACCGGGTACCCTTTTGCATAATTTTCACTTAAAATATTTCGTCTTCCAGGTAAAAGATTGATATATCCGGCCAGATCGCTCGTATCCGCGTTTGCCTCAAGTTTAGAATTTTGTTATCAGAAAACTACTAAAATTGGACGATAAAATAGACGACAATTCTGGTTATTGACATAAGAGTTAATTAAAATGCGATAATAAAATTATGCAGAGTGTACCATAACATGTAGGACCCACTTTAGGGATGGACAGGAGACACAAAAACAATGAAAAAAGTTTATATAAACATGTGTCCTATTTGACCTTGTTTGAAAGTTATAGCCATTTTTGTTTCGACAAACCGCAACTGGCTACCTTTACAGGTGCTCGAAATGGTCTCCCTCGGTCTGTATGCTCTGCATCTTCTGGATATTCTCTGACCTTGGCGATTTTACACGTTTTGTCGATTGAGTTTACTTATTTCAGTTTGTTCTTTTGTTAGGACTCGATAATTCTCTAATTTGCTGTGCATTGGAAGTTCCAAGTGCGTAATTAAGTAAATAAGAATGAATAAATATTCAAATGAAGAAATGACAGACGTGCATTTGATGTATGGAAGAAGTTGCGGATTATTGAAACACAAAAATGGCTATAACTTTGCAAATAGGACACATGTTTGTATGAACTTTTTCATTGGTTTCGTGTCCCCTGTCCACTCTGAAGTGGGTCCCACATGTTATGATACACCCTGTATTTTGAACGCCACAAAGAAATTCTCAATTTTCACAGTGAAACTTTTCACAACCCAAAGCTCTGTTTCGAAAATTATAAATATTTGTGAACTTATTCCTTTTTATTTCTTTTGTTAATTTGCTTAATTTTAATATAAATAATACTCGAGTGGGATTATGGTGCATATTATAAACGTAGACTGTAAAGTGTTAACGTTAAACGAATTACTACTAATTTTAATCCAATTAAATATTAAATTACAAAGATTCGTTTATTTGTAACTAGAACATTAAATTTCTAAACAATGAATTGAAGTATCCTATTTTTTGGAAAGTTGAGATTCAAATTTACTTATGAACTAAAATATTCATCAAAATTGAAAATAATTTTCTCAGCATCCCTGAGAATTGAACATTTACAAGGCAACCATTGCAAGATAAACTGGTTTGACTTCCATTGGTGATTTCCATCGAGCGGCGATTTTCACTCTCGATCGAACGTCGCGCGATTTCTCGATCGCGGACAACGCGCGACGCGTTTTCTACATTCGCTTGAAATTCCACGGCGTTCGTGAATATGTGACACACCCACGCACGTGTGCAAATTCTTTTGGAACAATAGCCACGTCGGCTTACGCGACACTGCGTCCACATGCATGTGCAGCGACACCAGAAAAATCGATGGTCTTCTTATCGATGATTCACTTCGACCACTTGCAACCAACAGTTCCGCGTGAAACAAATTTAACACATTTCAGTAATTCCATATTAAAGCAAACATTAATTATTAATTTCCGTTTCTTCTGCGTTCCATATTGAACCTTCTCGACGGTATTTTTTCATTTATACTCGATGGGTCGTTGTTTTCTAGTAAATCTATTCAAGGAGAGACAGCATGTTCGGTAAATCCTTTTTTTTCTTCCGAAATGCACAAAGGCCCGCCATAAAACAATTTTACTTTTCTACTAAAATTCCCATTGTATTATTATACTCGCGTATTGTTACACTCGCAATAACATTCGTTTACATTCTGATTGGGAAAAATACCGCAACCTCAGTACGGTCGTTAATCTTACATTCACGTTATTCTGTTTAATATTCTTATTTATTGTTTATGCCAATTAAAACAGTTGGAAAAATTATAATATGTAAATTCTGATAAGATGCACACTTACATGTATTGCACTTTGCCCGGTAGCGATAACAAACTGATGTTTAAAACTTTAAGCGACAATATCTCTAAAGTAAAAATATGTGACTTATGTATGTTGTTACGGGTTACGCTTGTTGGGTCCTCACACGGAGCGTAATATTGAGTTGGTGGATCGGTCAAAACGTTCACCGTATGAGGGTGATACGCGGTTGACAACAAATCCAAAAGGATTGGAACCTTCGACGCATGTGGTTACTACGCCGTTCTCCGAAGGATGGAAAAGGTTTGGTGGTTGTGAGGACAGTACGTATCGTAATGTCGGATATACCTCGAGCGGTAAAGATATATCCTTTGTGAGTTTAACTGCGCAAGAATCTTCCTTCTCGACTTTACACGGTGAGTACGCGGGGACGTCGTAGAGAAGTATGTCTAGTTGACACTTACGAATTTAGTATTATACTGGGTTGCTCGAAAGGGAATTGAGCCCGATCTTGCTCGTCTCGAACGATGACTATACAGATACTGTGCTACTTTAACGTTCAGGGTAACTCTGAACTGTGACTGCCCCTGAGCCCCGAAAATCTTTCCTCTTATATACCCAAAAATCTGTATTTTTGGGTGGTGGGGGCCCTAATTTTGCCATGAGAACGAAACGCGTTCGTTTACTTTATCTCAAGGGGGTGAGCTCTAGGCGGATGTCTCGGCGCCGCCGTGTCGGATAGTCTGCGTACGTAACAATGTATTAGGGGTACAAATTAATTCGTGGCCTTTGTTATTTATATTAGAAAAAAAAAAGCACATTTCAGTCTTGGAAATAATCTCCATCACTTGCTATACATTTATTCCATTTCTCAGACAGTTGGCGAATTACCTTTCGAAAAAATAATGGTTCCGAACGTACAAAATCAGCAATGCTATTATTGACATCTTCATATGTCATTTTGAATCGGTTAGATGGTGCTGAAGGGAACGAAAGAGATAATAGTCTGGGGAATAAGCCGCATGAGGCAGAATTTCCCAAAGACCTTTCGCTTCAAGAGCACATTTTTTAAGTTGAAATGCAAAAAGGATGCAGCGTCTAATATG